CCTACGACGAGGACAACTGCTACCAGTCTACTGCCACTGCTACCACCACGACAGCAAGTGCTACAAACAACAGCGACGACGACGGTTAGATGACTATACTGGGGTGGACTGTGTGGTGGGCTGCTGCCTATAAAGCTTGGAGGCCTTCGGCCCCTGTGCACACCAACATCAAGAGTTTTCACGTTCTGAAACTTTCACAAAGGGTGAGAGACCGTCAGGTCCTAAGTCTGAGACTCGACTCGCTGCGCTTCCGCAGCTCTGAAGGTTCGAGCCGTTCCTGCAGCCTATATGCCAGGCTTCAAAGCAGAACCTGCAAACATCTATCGTTTGAATTGTGCCAGGCCAGTCGGCATTCGGTGGCTTCGTTCAGCTCCAAAGTCGGCACGCGCTGCCTGCATGTCCATTCAGAAGAAGGGGAGGTTGCGCCTGCTTGTCGTGGTCTCGGGATCTTACTGCTGATAGCCTAAGCTCGAAATCTGTGCATGACACCATAATCGCATCCTTAATTCCATCCTTTTCGTTTCACAAACAAGCCTTTCCAGCCAGACAAGAGTTATCGTCGCGACCAGTTTCATCAATCTTCATCATTGTCATTACCACGAGCATCGTGATCTTCTTCCCATTCATCATAGCAACGGACACCTTCAGCAGCCTGCACGGCTCACATACCACCGGTGATGACGAGCGCCATCAGCACTACTGCTAATTGATTTTGCTTTGTTCCTGCAAGACACTTCGACAAAGTCCAAGATTCCTAGCGCAGTTGGACTCTATATTTGTTGGTTCGATTGGAGCACTTGTTTCATCCCAGCACATCAGGAACTTTAGCTAGTTTATGCTTTGCAGATTCGCGGCAGGCCGTACTATGTGGCGCCGGAGGTGCTGCCTAGATTCCCCAGGCCGGCGTTTAAGGTTCCCTCCATCAAGGTGGTCGGACAGGGTTTTGGCCAGTTCCGCATTGCTTTGCGTTGCTCTTCCAGGCTTTCTGCGAGTCTAGGTTTTGGTGTTCTGGATCTATCCTTGAACTTTGAAGCTTCTCGTTTTCTTTTTTTTCGAAAATGCATTTAACCCTATCGCGGAAGCATCCGCGTGAGTGATACCGTGATGCTGCCTTGCGTTCGGTTGCTGTTTTGCTATCTTCCGTATTGGGCATCACGAGGACGGCCATGGTGTTGGTGATAGGCATGGCATCTTTGCAGTTCGTCGCCATCGTCGTCGTCGTCGTCGCAGCAGGAGGAGGGGTAGTAGTCGTAGTAGTCGTAGTAGTACTAGTAGTACTAGTAGTAGTAGTAGTAGTAGTAGTAGTAGTAGTAGTAGTAGTAGTAGTAGTAGTAGTAGTAGTAGCAGTAGCAGTAGTAGCAGTAGTAGCAGTAGTAGCAGTAGTAGTAGTAGTAGTAGTAGTAGTCGCCGGCGCGTCGTCGTTGTCGTAGTAGTAGTTCAGTAATCAATACGGAGCAAGCAGTGAGCAGTAAGTGGTAGTAAAAGTAGTAGTTGTCGTCGTAGTCGTGGTGGTGCTGGTGGTGGTTGTGGTAGTAGGAGTAGCAGCAATAGCAGCAAGGACAACTTATAGAATACATTGGCAAAAGAAATCCTTGGTCGGTGTGACTCCTGCGATGCAGGTACAGCGAAAAAGTCGACTGCTGGAGTGCTGGCGTGGTCCTGCAGAGGGCCGAGATTGTGTGTTTCAGCCTCCGGGCCTTCCAGTTCTCTGTCCAGACCTTTCAAAGGCAGCTCCTTGGAACTTACTTTGATGCTTGCAGAAGCTTCGATTCGATGGACTTGCTTCTAGCATCGCCAGTGCTAGTGCGACTTTACTGTTGCGTACTTGCAGCTGAGTTTAAGTACGCAAAGCGTCCGAAGAAGGCCCGCAACTTTTCTGTCCAAGCCTGGCCTGGGCCTCTCGCTCAGTAGTGCTTCCAGGCTCATGAGGAACATGTGGCAGAAGGTTCTAGATTTTTCTCTTCCTTGAGGTCCTGCCTGCATGTAAGTCTTAGCTAGTGGGCATGGCCGGTGTTAACCCCAATTCCAAAGCCAAAACCCTGAACACTGAACCCTAAACCGGTTCTGCATGGCCTACGGCCGAGGTATATCCTGCTCTCCGGGATCTTCCCCTTCAAGGAAGAGGGTACGACAGCCACCCTGCAGAAGGCACCCCCGTCTGCTTCGCAGCAGATTGCCGACGGTAGGACGTGTAAACTGTACACCTGGAATCCTAAACGGAAAGTGTATAGCCACACAGGGGACCCTGAGAGACCAGCGACCAGTTCTGGCACGCAGCAGTAGGCGAGAAGATCACTGCTTAAAGGATCATGGGACTTAGCAAATAGGGTTATAATTAGGGTAACTGATACTCATAACCCCAATTAAGGTACTTGTAACCTTGCTTACCAAGTCCCATGATCCTCCAAGTAGGCGAGAAGATCACTGCCAGGTCAGAACGGCCAAGTGCACGTTTCCACCAGAAGCCTTTCAGGGCGTCTCCAGAGCAGCGAAGGACGGTCGACGACTTGCATCCGGCGGACTTTTTGAAGGTTGTTCCGTTTTGGATATACTATTCCTAGAAAGAATCCTCAACCCTAAACCGCAAATTCTGGATCTTGGCTTGTGGCCTTTTGGGATTGGCTAGGTGGTCTGATACCATTATAATCATTGCATGCAGACTCATTTTGACGAACAGAGTTGCACAAAGAAGGGCCCTACTTGCTTGCAAAAACAGGTAAAACTCCCAGGATTCGTCGAGTCTCCGGCCACTGCTCCTGTATGCGCCTTCTGCGTAGCACACTCGTCCATGATTCCTAGATGTTGCAAGCGCTGCTGATCTCGCACAACTTGGTGAGAGACGGGAGAAGAGATGGTCCCAAGAAGTGCATGGGCACGAATTCTGTGCAACTCGACCCTGGGCCCTTCGCCGAAGAGTGTAGCACAGTTCTGTCTAGTGTCTAGAGTAGAGGGATGTAAAGGGTTTATTTAGGTGACTGATGGCGCGGGTGGAATCCGGCATCACCTGTGGCACGGCGCACGGTTCTCCACTGAAATGGTGCTCTCAGATCGATGTCTCTAAAGTCGTTCCCCGGCCATGCTACTTGCCTACTCAAAGCGCATGTACGGTTTCCGTGTAAGGTGTGTTGGAATTTTCGAAGGTTGTAGCCGTGCGCAGGCCACATGACCATGTGTTGGGAGCCCGGAACTTCTTTTGGGTATGAAGCGACAAGATTCCGACGTGTTTGGGATCGCAGGCATAATGAACTGCTGAAAGGAGAAGAGGCCCAGAACAAAAAAAGTTCAAGCCTGTGAAATCATGGTCATAGAAGCGCGCATAGGGCCTCGGCGTTTAGACGCACCAGTAATCATTTAGGCCCCTATAGTACTGTGATGGGGATAGGGCCCCTTATACTATAATTACAATAAGGAACCAAGAAAGCAGTGGGAGGAGCTGATCAAGAAGCTCCTGCAGAAGAGTCCGGAGCAGCGACTCTCAGCGAAGGAGGCCGGACCGGGGGCTTCCATGGAGGGACACGAGGACTTGGTAAGTAGGGATAGACGGACCAAGGCAGGAGGGAGAGTGTCACTGCAGGGACTGACAGGCCCTTTCGAGTTGCTAAGGCCTGGTCATACTTGAGGCAACTGTTCTTTCTCAGTTGAGTACCACCGATGCTCATCGCCGCCGAAATCCCCCCACGTAGAATTCAGATACACTCACATTTATTTGAGGGTTGATTGCCTTACTTCAGCTTTGTTGCATATCGAGGCTCTCACAGAAACAGAACCAGGTCAGAAGTAATCCCGAACCCCCAAGTTGAGACCCGAAGCCCCTCCGCTGAAACCCCCCAAGCTACAAGTAGGGAAGCACGAGCGATTGTTTCTTCTCTTTCTCTCTCGCTGCCCGCTCCACATCCATTCATGGCCCCACAAAAGCCTCCAGAGCCCCATCTCCTCTCATCATTCCTTTCGAGCCTTTCAAGAACAAGACGGCACTGATCGTTGTCTTCATCATGCGGCTTCCAGCACTGATCACAACAACGATGACTACAACAAGCCTTCAGCCACAAGCCTTGCCCACTCCCGACCCGGGGTCTGTTGAATGTTTTTGTGTGCTTGTGATGTTCGCGGGGTCGTGTCCTATCATTCTTCGGGCTTCTGATGACGCGCTTCAAGATTTTTATCGACATCTCAAATTCTCAGGCGTTGAGAGACCCTTGGCTTACCAGCTCTGCGTCGGGCGCTTGGTGAGCCACGGTGATCTGCGTTCTTGATTTTTCGAAGCGACATCTAGCTTCAACATTACATGTCGCTGCGGCTGATTCCTGTCCAGCTTGAAGAATTGACTGTGCCATCATGTGCCCTGTCATTTATATGACCAACATGTAACCAAAGTAATATCTGAGTAACCACAGAAAGGCCTGTAGAGATACGTATAACATGCAAGTACACGCGCCCTTTATGTGTCCATGTGAGAAAGTCTGTTTGTCAGTCTGTCCGTTTGTCTGCTTGTCTGTCTGTCCATCGGTCTGTCTGTACATCTGTCTATTGGTAGGTAGGTAGGGGATCGGGCAGGCGGCAGGCAGGGAGTAGGTAGGCAGGTAGGTAGGTAGGTAGATGTGCTCTGCAAAGTAATTTCATGTCATGGTATGTTATTTTGAATTAAGTCCAGATTGGTATGTCATGCTTTTGTTGTTATGCCTGGTTATGTTTTGTTATGCTATGTTATGTGGCATGTTATGCCATGTTACACTACGTTGTGCTATGTTCTGTTATGTCATAGCATGTTGTTGTGCCGTGTTGGTGTCTGTCATGTTCTGTGGTGCCATGTCATGTTACATGTTGTTATGATTCATGCCAGGCCTTGTTATGCCATGTCATGTTATGCTATGCGCGCATGCATGGCCGGCTGGCTGCCTGGCTGGACGGAGGGATGGATGGGTGGTGGATGTTCAATGTCTGGGTCGTACCTGTGTAAACGTGCAGGTGTACAGGTGTGTAGATGTGCAGGTGGAGTCGCCATGTGCGTAAGCGTGCGTCGTGTCTATGTGTGTGTGTGTAGAGCTGAATATTATGCACTTGTATGTCGGAGCTGTACATTATGCACTTGTATGTTGAAGCCACAGACGGTGCAACAGTTTATCGATTTATCTGCGTATAGTATAGTTGTTGACCAGCCAGAGGGTTACTGTCCCCTAAACCACTGAACCTTAAACCCCTAAAGCCCTAAACCCTAAAACCCTAAACCCCTAACCCCCAAAGAGAGTCACGTCTTCCTTGCCAGGAGCCTTCCCACTGCTTCGCTGTCCTCAGTCGGCGACCCAAAGGGGGGACGGTGGAGTGGTTGGGGGTTTTAGGGCACTTAAGGGGGATTTAGGGGAACCGAAGCCTTGCCTCGATTCTGGCCTCCCCTCCTTGAGGCGGTCATGGAGAATCTTCGCAGGTACAGTGGACGCCTCGGTGAAACTTGCAGTGGTACGAAAAGAGCTTTGCTTTCTTCAGGCCCCTGGAATTGCTAGGAAAAACGAGTGTCTTGATGAAAAGGCTTTGGAGCTGTGAGAACTTGCATGGCGACTCGTCGTTAATCTGCAACGTCGAGCGACAGCATCCCCAAAAGCCTGGCTTGAAGTGTAAACGCGGGTTGGGAAATTCCATGTCTTCGTCCCTGCGCCGAGGGCCTGATCAAGCCGATCGCGGAACTTCAGCTAGTATTACGTAACGAGGTAACATAACTTGGAGCTTGGCAGCTGAGTGTGTTAGCTTACTTAATGGATCATGGGACTTAGTAACTGGGGTTATAATTAGGGTAACTGGTACTTATAACCTTACTTACTCAGTCCCATGATCCCCCGAGTACTCATGGCCTGGAAGCCGGGGCCGCTAAGGGGCTCCTTCTTAAAGGGTTACTGTGGTTCAGGGTTTAGGGGCTCCTTTCCCTTCCTGGAGCGCATCAGAGGCGTCGAGCACCGTTTCAAGAAGGCAGCGCTCCACGTTCTCGCCCGACAGCAGGAGCTCAGTGGTTTCTCCGATCAGCCGGGGGGTTTGTCCTGAACCCTAAATCTCAAGCCTTAGCCGGTTGAAGGGTCTAGGGTTTGGGCTTTGGAGATGCTAGGCCCTGAACTTTCGGTGGTGTTCGGTGCGAGTGCTTCTGTTGACGGGTTTCGAGTTGTGGATCGGGGATGGGGGTGCTCCTTTTGCAGGATTCGGGTTCAAGCCGGGATCAGTGCACTCAGTTTGAGGGCTGGGCAATCTGGGGTTCAAGCCTCAGATCTTAAGCCCTCATCTTCAAAGGCTGCAGTGGTACTGAGAACATCAGATGGGGCTCTTGCCTTGCGGTCAGGACGACGGCACTCTCAGCGCGTCGGGGGCCCTGTTTCAAGGTGTTTCTCAGCACGAAGGGCTTCAGCCCTGCACATTCTAGAACTTCTAAACCCGAAGCCACAAGCCCCTTGTTTTGTGACACGGAAGCTCCCAGCTCACGGACCCGGGAATGTCCTCTGACCAGAAGTCTCCAAACCTTTTCACCTAAAACCCACACCCTCGCGCTCAACCTTAAGCCTATAAGCCCACGCATGCTCAACACCGCTACAGACACCAAGATCCCTTGGTAAACTGGTTTCAAGTCCATTCAAATCAGGTTGCGACAGGTCTTCACCGAGCTGGACCAGGACCCCTTGGGTGTAGCCCCAAAGCCAGTACTGTGTTGGGATCTTCCATCCTTTGGTGATGGAAGTGCTTCACAATCTCTAGTCGAACTGTCATGACTCAGTTATGCCCTTGTCATGATCTTAAAGCCGCCCGCAAGCTTTGAGCCAGGATGGTGATGGCATCATCACTTTTAACGAGCTCAAGGAAGGGTTGTCCGAGTCTCAGGAACATCTTTCGGTCTGTCCCGTTTCGGGCGTTAAACTTTAGGGTTGAAGGCGCAGGCCCAAACGACGCTTGGAGGTTTCATGCTTGGGCGTTCCCTCTGAAGCAGAGACTTGTGTAGCTGTTGTGCCAAGCCGAAGAGTTTCCGAGGAAGAATTCCGGCCACGGCGACACCTTCTCCAACAAGGACAGAAGGAGGTAGAACTCCCCACCCAAAATTCCCGCACGAAAGACGAAATTCCTAAGCTCTATATAAACCCCTGAACCTTAAACCCTAAACCGTTGAAATACTCATTATGGTACTCGTAACCCGTTGTAGTGTAACCCTTACAGTATACTATCCGGAAGAGTTCCACCAACCTGGCCACACCGCCTTAGGACACCATTATAAATACGCACTTGTACACAGAAAGCTGAGAGATGTTGCTGGGAAGACGCCAAGGCGCGCTGACTCGCGCGCATGGCGCTAGCAAAAACCCTTACAGTAATGCGTACAAGGAAGCCTGTTTTTGGGTGGCAGATCCCACAAAGACGAAGGACCTCCAGCATCTGGCTCGGGCCGTAGATGCAGATGGCTCGGGCGAGATCGTGGCCCTGGCCCAGCATTGAAGTGCTTCAGGGCTTCGAACGTAGCTTCAGGGTCTTGAGAGCTTTGGGCCTTGTGGCTTAGGGTTTAAGGGCTTTTTTTTTGGTGAGATTTTTCAATGTAATGCAGACCTAGAGAGGTCATTTCCATGTCGGTTCGACGGGGTCCTCAACAATGTCTTCTTGGGTGTTGAGGGCTTTGGGCCTCATGGCTAGATGCGTGCTTGTCTCAGTTGGGGTTTCTCTAGGGTTTCTTTTTGGAGTGTTTGCATGACTGGAAGTCCCCTACAGTAGCATTCAAAGCAGTCTCCAAGGATTTCCGTCAAAGCCCAGCTTGTCGAGCACTGCTCAAGAACTGCTTTTAGGGGAGGTGGTTTGCGGCTGCGCACGCGCACCGCACGCTTTTGCTGCAGCAGCTGTTAGGGGGAAACAGGAGCATGCCATCGCTACTTGTTCACATCGGCTGTAATGATGGTGGCATATTTACATTCTCCAAGCGTGAAAGTGTTCTTCAAGCCCACCTGCACCCCGGGTGCCTCAACAAAAAACATGTCAAACAAATACCTGTCAAAACCCAGCATACTACGACTCAAGAGGAATGCCAGTGACTTAAGAAGTTTGGCGATGTCAGTCATACTCGGCTCATTGCTTGATTACAGATTGGCATCTTTCTATCTCTTAACTTCACCTACACCCACGAAGTTCACCGATCCTCCACGTGGCCAGGACTATACGGAGTTCCTTGCTGCTGCGATGGAGAGAAAGGCAGTTGCATTTTCCTCGGCCGGACGGAGAGTGCTTGAAGTATGGTTCGGAGTCTAAAGGTTCACTGTCCTGGTTTGGAGTCTGGGTGTTTGCAGGTGTATGTTCAGTCTTCGAGGTTTAGGGTGTAGAATAAAAGGCACAGGCAAACAGTGTCAGATGGGGTGTAGATGATCTTATAACGTCTTACTATTGCACACACCCGCTCCCGCCCCTCACCAGAGCTTTCAGCCCTGGACTCAAAATGCAAGCCCAACCTTTCTGGGCAGTAGGGAAGAGGCACAGCTGCAACGAAAGTGCCGCCGTTTGGCGGCGGACTAACACCAACCCCAGCCTCCACTTGGCTGGCACTGAAACATCTGACGGCCGCAAAGCGCCTCGCCACACCGTATCATGCTTTCAGTATTGTTGTATAACCCCATATGCGAACCAGAGAGTTCGGGGCCTCAATCCCAATCCCTAAGTTCCAAGTTAAAGCTGAACCTACAAAAACAAGCTGGAGCCTGAAATGCAACAGATCCCGAAACCTTTCGCCAAGGTGCAGGAGAGCGCTCTCTGGGCAGCCTTCCGTGTCTTCGACAAGAACGGCCGCGTGGCTGAACTAGCGTTATAGGGTTTAGGGGTTAAGGGGCTTAAATTAGGCTAGCGTCTAGGGTTTGTGGTTTCGGGTCTCGTATCTGGCGCAGCCGCTAAACACCAAAGTGCAAGCCCTGCGTTCAAAAGAAAAGGCTTGAAAGATCCCAAGATCCAACCCTCGGATTGCAAGTTTATTCAACATCCAAATGGGGGTTTCCGAAAATAGGGGACCCTAATGTAGTATCCTAAATCGTAGGATCCTTATTAAAAGGACTCCAAAATGAGGTACCCCTACTTTTCGGAAACCCCTACATAAACCCTGCAGGAACCGTGGAGAATCACAGTACAGTTTACTTAAAGGATCGTGGGACTTAGTAACTAGGGTTATAACTAGGGTAATTATACTTATAACCCCAATCAAGGTATTTATCACCTCACTTACTAAGTCCCATGATCCTCCAAGTAGGAGGCCCCATCTGCTAGAAGACTCCAGTCTTGCAGTTCCACACCTCCAACCCCCCTCTGGAAACCTTCGAAAGCCATTTAGGGTTTATAGGGTGTGAGATAGGGTTTGGGGCTGTCCTCGTACTTCAAGAGGATATGCACACATCTTCCCCACACACTCTCCAGATGATCGAATCAAACTCCTGGAACACAAACGCTAAAGAGCACAACACATAGAGCGCTAAACCCCAAAACCCTAAATCCCTAAACCCCAAAACCCTAAAGCCCAAAAGCCCAAAACCCTAAAGCCCTAAACCCCAAAACCCTACAGCCCTAAACCCAAAGAATCCCTAAAGACCCGAGCCCCCGAAGCTTTGCTTCCTGACAGATGACGGCCGGATCTCCCTCAAAGAGATCCAGGAAGTGCTCGGCACCAAAGAGGCCTGGCTTTTGAGCTTCACACCTCTGTCAAAGGGGGTTCCATTCGTTTTTTGAAAGTCGGGTAGTCCGTGCTCTAATGTTCGGAGCTGCAAGGTTTTCGGGGTTGCTGACTTTGCTAAGCCCCGAACCCTAAACCCTAAATACGGCTTTATGAGTTCTAGGCTTTTCGGGCCTCTGGGTTCCAGGGTCTGGGGCTTCGGGGCCATTCATAGCTCCAGTCTTGGGGACTTTGGGGTATCCAAGGATGAAAAGGAGGGAGCCCCAACAAGGACCCTTAGGTATAAAACCTTAAGGTCGCCATTACATAGCCATCATGTAGCCCCTTTTAGGGCAGGGATCCCCATTGCCCTTTTGCCCTTTGCGGGTTTTTGAAAATGTAGAAGAGAGCCTGGGGGTCCCCGAGAAGCTGGGTGGGGGTGTTCAGGAGTATAGGTTTTAGGTGAAGAGGGTTAAAGTTTTAGGGTTATCTTGTGTTGAAAAGGAGGGCTCGTCAGACTTTGCAGGCTTCACGGGCATTTGAGGTACACGTGCGTTATATACCCTAAAGACTAAGCCCCGAAAGTCGTATACTTCAGATTCACAATAACCCCATGCATAACCCCATGTGCGAAACTCTACCCTCCACCCAAGCGGCTTGCCTAGCAAGATCGACTTTCAGAAGCTTTCCCTCTTCGCCTAGAGCAGTCGGTTCTTTAAACTATATCAACATTATTGTGATTCTTAGCTTATGATTACGATGATTTTATGAGTATTATTGTTCAGTCCTATTAATTTGAGTGCTGACATGTGGGGCCTAGAAAGGCGAAACCGACAGCTAACACAGAAGCGTAGGAGGTGAAACCTAAACTCCCAAAGGTAGGTAAAATAATGGCCCAAATCCTGTAAAAGGCCATTATTCTACATGCTCTTGGGGTCCAGGAACACCTCTAGTACTAGGTTTATGCAGAAATTCGTCCTTGAGTTTAAGTTTACCAGCTGGTAGCGTCCAAACCGACGACAGGAAAATGAACCGACTACGTTGATTTTCTGTAATCCAAGTAGGTATCCAGGGGCAACCATTGGGATGGTGAGTTTTCAGGACCCCCTCAAAAGAAGAAGCAAATCAAATCCCAAACCCCAAAGAGCCGCATTAACATGAATATCCCTGAGAGCTCACGTGACTTGAATCTCTAGAGGCGGGGGCGTCTTCACTTTTGGGATTCCAAACGAATCGATCTAATATATCTCTTATAGTACATACTGTAATATCATCAAAAAGACATACTATGTGCTATCATATAGTCTATCATATAATATGGAGGTCTACCTACCTTGTTGTCGCCTCTAGGGAGCTTGGACAAGCCTATCCCCTCTTTTTGGAGACGTTCAGGTCAACCGCACCGTGTCGAAGGCGGGCTTTGGGATACTGGCTCTTGGGGGGAACTTGCACTAAATCGTCCGTTTTGACGTTCAGTCGAGATCGGATTCGTGTGATGAACCGATTCCTTATTCAGCCCAATCTGTGGGACGTTTCATAGCCAACAGAAGCTTTGGTCGGTTGGTATCGTGGCTACACAGGAGCAGATCAAGAAGATACTGGCGGAGGTGGACACGAACGGAGACGGCCTGGGCCTGAGCCGCTGAGGCTCCTTTAGGCCTCAGCTGCCCCAGCCAGTTGTTTCCCAAGGTACCTTTCTTCGAACTCGAACTGCACAATGTAAACCCCTAGTGGGGTGTGCAGGGCTTCGTGCACTCAAGATGGGTAAGACCTTACTCAAGGCCTCTATAGTCAGGCTGCTAGAGTGTTGGTGATCATTATCATCATCCGTGTCGTCGCCGCATTATCACCGAAGTCCGGAATCTCCGAGCCTTGAGCCCTACATTTCTTAAACGAAGCCCCAAAGCCCCGCTTCAAGCCCTAGGAGTTCAGATTCTTTTTTTGGGGATCCCAAGACCTGCCACGGGACCGCCAGGATTCATCGATTTCCACGAGCGGCTTCCTGAGATAACTTCCGGTGGCGGTTTGATACGCTATCCACAATGACATGGCATGACTGACATGAGATAGGTCATGCATACATACCCACATGCATGTATGCAAAATTACACACACACACATGCAGATCGACAGGCAGATAGATAGGAATGTAGGCAGGTAGATAGGCCGAGAGGTCGCAGGCCTTGAGACGTTGAGGGCTACGAGGAGTTTACCGGGTTGGGGTTCACCTGTTTCCGCATTTCCAGCTGTTGTGGTCCGTTTATAAGGTTTAGGGTTTAGGGTTCATGGTTTAAGACTTCGACATGCTGTACGTTGCCTTTGAACCCTGCAGGTGGAAGCCTGAGGTGAACCTCCGACTCAGAGGATGCACTTGCTAGTCACTTGTTGCTGAAGACCTGCAGGAGTTCGGAAGTCAGGAGACTCCATATCAAGAAATCATTTCGAAGGAGCCCAGCAAACCCAAGCATCCGAAATAGGAACCCCCCTGGCACTGCATGCGAGCTGCAGGGAATTTTGAGACCCCCAAAGCGATGAACTTTGAGTCCAAAAGTGTCAGCCCTGAACTCAACAATGAAACCCGGAACACTCCCGAAGGCTACTGTACATTATCATAGTACCCTTATTATTATAGATCCCTTCATGGTACCATTTAAAGGAACCCTAATAGAACCAGGTTCCTAGCAAGCGCTCGCCATACTCCTTGGGCCCTTTAAACCCAACCGGTCTCGGACTTTGGAGGTTCATCGCGATGATGAGATCGTAGCGGCTGAGTTGGGGACTTACAGTAGAAGCCAGAAAGTTGGAATATGATTATCCTAACCCCTTTATGGTAAATGATAGGGGATCCTACCATTAATCCATATTCCAACTTTCTGGCTTTGACTGTAGTCGGCGTGCATGAGGCCCCAGGTTGATTCTGAGGGGTTCTGGCGTCAGGGTTTAGGGTTCTGAGGTTGGATTGCTCTGGAGGTGTCGGCGGCGATAGTGAGTATGAAGGCTGTGCGGTTGTATGTTTGCCCAACAACTTAGGCTTACTGAAGTGGACTGAGAAGTGTGTATTGTAGTGCTTTGATGCAGGTGAGCTTCATCATATTCTAATGATTTCCCTCAGTGGACACGGCGCCAAAGGTGCGGGGGCCGTGGGGTTTAGGAGATGTCCAGTTCTTGAAGAATCATTCGACAGTGAACTGCAGTTTAACGGTTGAAGGGTTTAGGTCAAAGCTTGAACCTCAAGGGTTTACTAAACCCCAAAGCTCCGCAGCTTCCCAGGACGGCAGGTAGCTCAAGCCTGGAATCCCGAAATCCTGAGCCCGATGCACTTTGGCACATATCCGAGGCAGAGACAGCTGCAGCCCAACGGCGTTTCTGTCACGCTCAGTAAGCGGCATGCGAGCAATCCTTTTCTTGGGCTTTGGTCTTGCTATTAACTGGGGGTCTTAGGTGTTTTTGAGTTCAGGGTTGCGGATCGAACGTGTTTGGGTTCACTCGCTTCATCTATTTCTTTGATTTTCGCGGCGATTGCTTGCATGCTGCCTAGCCCACGGGGCGAAGCCTACCTCTCTTGTCGCAGAGCTTCGATCGTGGAGATCTCGGCTGACTTTCAGGGCATAGGCACCATGGCGGTCAAAGACTAAAGATGCAAGACTTTCGGCACAACAACATGATTTTCAGGGGCTTTGGGGTTTAGGGCTTCGGGTGCTTACATGTCGCCCGGCTCTGCATTCTGAGCCTGTACCTTGAAGTACTACGCTCGAAGCCCAAAAGCCTAAGTACCCAACTCGAAACTTTAGAGACTCTCCGCCGAAAACTCCGCAATCCCCAGCTTCAATCAAATGCCACACCGCCCCTAAACCCCTAAACCCCTAAACCCTAAACCCTGAACCCTAAACCCACCCCAGACCCAAATACCAGCCTGAGCCTGAAAATCACGTACTTAAAGGATCATGGGACTTAGTAACTAGGGTTATAATTAGGGTAACTATACTTATAACCCCAATTAAGGTACTTATAACCTTACTTACTAAGTCCCATGATCCTCCAAGTAGGGTCCACGCATCACATCTCCCTGCAGTTCTCAACCCAGAGTTTGCTTTGTTTGGTGCTTGCGCATACTGACTCGATGCTGGCATAATGCCTGAACATGCCGTTTTTTTGGGGTCGAGACTGAACCGAAGATTTCGAGCCTTCCCTTTTGCCCTTTATGTTGTAGACGAGCCACAGCCACAGAATCCTTTAAGTATCCAGAAATGCACCGCCACCAGCTGACGGAAGCCCGCCGATTGGTCCACGGTTGACGAACATTTGCAGCAGCACCGGCAAGCAAACTCCTGAAGTCGGGCTTAGGGCCTAGGGTTCAGGTTTACGACAAGGCCCCTTGTGGACTGCGAGATCTTGGGAGGGTTTTAGGTTTCCGATTCGGGTTTCGCTTAGACTGTCCCATGGGCGTGGCGGATTGCTGCTTTTCGAGGAACTACTTCCCTCGTTCGTGAGCCGTGAAACACATCCAGTAACCGCCATAGTCTCTGCTACTCCTAACCCTTGTAAGGGGACACCCAAAGCCCTAAACCACAGCCTTGTTTTCCACTTTGCACCCTCTTTCTGTCAAACCACCCAAAAATCGCAAACCAAGACTGAGGGCGGCAGGGCTTCAAAGACTTGCAGGATGATATTGGGTTGAATGGTTTCCACATAGCTTGCTTGCTTGTGTTGGCATGCCAGCACGACCCAGGTTTCACAGCAAGGGCCAGCTCTCGCCGGTGCATCTTTTAAAGGAAAGCGCGTCAGAAAGGATTTGATTTCAGGCTGACTCCGAGCACGACAACTCTCGCAGAGGGCACAGCTCGCATCAGCAGGCCTTGAATGTTGCTGGATCGCAGCTTTGGGTCACAGTCCATTCATCTTCATCTGAGTGGTGCAGATGATGTCGCCAAATATGAAAAGTGGGAATGGACTTCCGCGACCCTGCGGTGCCTTCACTTGGCAGTCATCTACAACTGACGAACGGACAATAACCGGTTCAGGACACGGACAAGTGACTCAGTATGTCGGGGCTACACTGCTACACCTCGAGTGCCAGGTCAAGGTTATCTGTAGCACCATTCAACCATGTAAAGTAACTTAGACCATATTCCAACTTGCCTAACATGGTAACCTAAACCTTTTCAACCCCGAACCGCTAAACCCTAAACCCCGAACTGCTAAACCCAAACCCCCTGGAGCCTAAACCTCACATCTCCTAGCCCGAAACCCCTCAAACCCCTAAACCCCTCAAACCCAAATCCCTAAACTCTACATCCCAGAGCCCCTGAACGCTAATCCGCTAAGCCCGACGCCTCGAAACCCCGTAGCCCTGCACCCCTAAGCCGATACCTAAACCTAAACCTACGCATGATCCTCCAAGTTGCCTTGATGTGCCCGATGGATCCAAGCACTCCGGCGATGCCCAGACAAAGATCTTCTGCTTCGCCTCGCAGCCGCGTGGTGCAGGCCTATTCTTATCAGTGTTTGTTTCGACCCAAGATGATCTTTCTGTGGTTGCAATATTACTTTGCTTCAGCTGTGTACAATTGTTGCCCCAACGTCGTTGCACGAGTAGCGTATAGCGACTATTGCTCTTTACCGTCATTGCTATTCTTGTTGTAATTGGACATGTCCCTGCTATTACTTGTAGTGCTCGTATTCATCAGTGCATGTGTAGCCGGTTGTACCATGTGCAGGATGGGTGCGACTCATTCTCCGACGCATCCTTGGCATGTCAGGCGGTTCAGATGAGGGCGGGTCAGTTGAGGGCGGTCTTTGGGAAGGCTTTGGTCTTTTGAGCCTGTTCTGCTTGCGGTCTCTTCGCCGGGGTTTGGGGCCGAGGGTTCTGGGTTCCGGTATGAAGCAGACAAGAAGGTGCCTGGTGGCCACTCTGGCCTTTCAATCGCTCGGTGGGAAGTCCACACAGCCCGGAGTGGTGGTCGTGCCACTCACAAGGCAACGGAGGCACTTACCCGACAGCTGGGGCCGACGGCAAAGCACGGTCGAGTACTTTGCGGAGGTGGCAGTCGGTTCACCAAGCCAGAGCTTTCGCATGACCTTTGACACTGGGAGTGCCAATGTTGTGATCCCGTCGAGTCATTGTTCAGCACCGAGCTGCCTGCAAAGCAGGCGCTACAATGCCAGCCAATCAAGCACAGCAGAGCGCCAGCTGTGCTTGAAAGACATCGACGCCGCCAACTACACCCGCGAGGCCGTGACGCTGACTTTCGGCACGGGACAAGTCACCGGCCACTACGCGAAGGACCAGGTGTGCGTGGGACAAGACCTCTGCGCAGCCTTGAGCTTTGTGGAGGCCACCAACCAAAGTGAGCATCCGTTTCGCAATGCGCCCTATGATGGAGTGCTTGGGCTCGGCCTTCCACAGCTTTCCCAGGATCACGGCTTCTGCCTCTTCGATGAGTTGGTGACTGGGACGTAAGTAGTGGTTATTAGGAATTATGGCTCTTCTGTTTCTTTTTCAACATCACTCTTCCTAGCCTGATGAATATTGCCATCACCATTAGTGCTGTTGTTGCTGCTGTTTGTATTGGTACAAGCTCGTCGAACTGCTTTTTGCCGTGACTGTAGGTGAAGAGTCGGAAGCTTGCCCGGCCGGTCTTTGCCGTCTACTTCTCCCTTGAGGGGGGCGAGATCAGCTTCGGGAAGGTGGATGCTGAGCGGATGGAGTCCGAGCTTAAGTGGGCACCCGTCTGGAAGCCTGGATTCTGGCAGGCGGGGTCCCGAACCGTAAACTCGAAAAAGCCCTAAGTCTTCGCGAGGCTTTGTTTTCATGAGCCATTGCCGGAAAATCTCACACGAACCTCAATAGAAGCCCATTAGAACTCAGTCCCAACCTCCTTTGTCAACGCTCCCGCCGACACCACAGCCACCTGAAACTCACCTGCACCCTAAACCCTCAAACCTGGACCTGAAACCCTAAACCGCAAACCCTAAACCCTAAACCCAAACTCCAAACCCTAAACCCTCTAAACCCTAAACCCCAAAACCGCCCGAAGCCCAAAACCGCTTCAGGTGTCCCTCAGAGATCTGACCCTGAATGGCTCGAAGACCGATCTCTGCGGGGCCCCGGGCTCCTACACCGCCTGCGCCGCCGCCCTCGACACCGGGAGCCACAAGTTCACGTTGTTTCGGGTTGAGGGCTTAGTTTTCTCCGCAAGTTTTCAATTTTTTTGAGCATTTTGTCGGCTTTCACGGTGCTTGTAGTGAGTGTTGTTGAGTGATTACGGGTTTGTGATGGCTTGCCCAGTACCATTACTGGATTGTTTGTGGGGTTCAGGGTGAGGGATTAGGCTTTTGGGCTTAAGGTTTGAGGTTTGGAGACTTTCCTATCTCGTTTACATTGACTCATTGTTTGACACCCCTCTTCCAAGACAAGGGCTATTTCATTCCTGAGACCACGGTTATTCGATTCCCAGGAGTGTCAATGACAAGCTCGGTGATGACAACAACGGTTGTATTGGAACCATGAGAATCGATCATCTTCGTGATACTCTACTCGAAGATACTTTTAAACCCTATAGACTCCATGCCATTTTTGTAGACCCCGAGAATAGAACCTGAAGAGTACACATCGTTGTATTCCTTATAAACACCCTTAACGACGGCAACTTCAAAAATAGTACTTGGAGGATCATGGCACTTAGTAAGTAAGGTTATAAGTACTTTAATTGGGGTTATAAGTATAGTTACCCTAATTATAACCCCAGTTACGAAGTCCCATGATCCTCCAAGTAAGGCCCCCCACATTACCAGGACCTCCTCGCTGGCAGCGCCTACCCGCCTCGCCCGGCAGCTGGCGGAACTTCTCAAGGCCGAAGCAGCAAAGGATCAGCAGGAGTAGTAGTAGTTGTAGTAGTAGTAGTAGTAGCAGTAGTAGTCGTAGTCGTGGAAAGCAGCAGCAAGAAGATGGGTAGTCTCTGCTACCGGAGTGATAGTCACAGGCCTGGAGACTCCGAGTGTGCAGTTTCCTGTGATTTGTACGGAAACTCGCTGTCAGTATGGACGTGGATGAAGTCAGACCAGGGCGAGAAGACAAGGTAAACAGAAAAAGCGTGAAGGGTGCATCCCCAATGCCTAGTCCTGGAATGCCAGCTCCCATACCCTCCAGCCCTAGACGCTCAACCGGCAGGTTGCGCCGGATTGCAGCAATTTCGATGCGCTCCCCACCCTTGGCTTCCTCCTGGAGGAGGCAGCAGCATCGGGACAGTACAGGGGGGGCTTTCGATATTCATTCCGATTGATGTTGCTCTCGGACTCAAGCGTTTTTGTAACCTGAAACCTAAACCGTTTTCTGCGGTCATTCAGGCGATTGAAGAGGATCCGAATCTCGGTCGTGTTCATACTGGTGACGATTGTACACGTGATTTGAGCACAGAATCATTTCAGTGGTCGTAACCATCATCTTCATCAGGAAAACCCACGAGGATTGTCATCATCCTCTCTGCCTCATTCCCATTCTCTTCCTGATCCTTTCCTCATCCTAGTCCTCATTACCATGCTTTGGGGTTTGGGGTCTTCGATTGACACACTCCTGGTAGGGCTTGTAGGCCCATGCTGTCTTTGGATCTGGATCGTTCCTCTGCTGATCCTGCTAGTAGTAGTATCAGTAGTAGTGGTAGTAGTAGTATTGGTAGTATTAGTCGTAGAATTATTATTATTATTATTATTGCTATTATTATTATTATTATTATTATTATTATTATTATTATTATTATTATTATTATTCGTAGTAGTAGCAGCAGCAGCCCGGCGCATGCGCTTTCAATCGCAGACCCGGGCCCGTGCCAGCTCCCAGAAGGGCATGATCCGAGCTCTTGCGCCGAAGGGTGGCCGAAAACGACTTCAACTCTTCGGTCTTCAGACACGTCGAAGTGTCAGGCAGACGGCAAGAGCCTGTGCAAAAATGAGGCCTTAAACCCCAACTTCCGAAACCCGAAGCCTCGAGCGCAAGAGCCTAAGCCCTACTGAACGGCCCGAATTAGTGTAGCAAACGCCTCTTACAAAGCATGAAAACCGTTCATACTATTATTACTACTTACAAATACTACTAATGCTATTAATACTGTTAATAGTACGATAATACTACTATTAATGATACTATTAATAGTACTATTAATACTATTAATATTATTAAGTCTATTGACCCCCAAAGCCGAAGGTGGATTTCGAGCTGCAGCTGACCCCGCAGGACTATGTGGAGCGGGAGGAGGTGCCCTTTCAGTGCTCATGGCAGGTCAGGGTTCGGGGTTCGGGGTCTTCGTCGGGCTGTTTTTGTTATCGGTTTCCTAGAAAATCATCTTGGATTCCAGGGAGTTCTAGGATTTCATTTCCGGTTTGAGCCTGAGTGTTTGGGATCTCTCTGGTTTAGGCATGTGTGCCAGAATCGTCTAGAAGGATTTCAGGTCAGGTGCAAACCTCCAAGCCCTGCGCACTCAACCCTTGGGTGTTGTAGTCTCACTGAGCTTCAACATACCAACTCCCCCTCCCTGAACACCCAAACCCTATACAATAGTTACTAGAGAACCTAAAACCCAATACTATACTTACCATAGTTGCTAGTTACTACAGTTGCAATAAATAACGACATAGAGAAATGAATACATATATATATATATATATATATATATAGATGTATATATATATATACACACACTACAGCTACTATATTTTGGATTTTTTGCTGTACTGTAGCACACATATATATATATGTATAAACTATCGAACCATTTTTGGTGACCCTTGTAGATCCTCCGCATCCTTCCCCAGGGCGGCTGTGAGCTGCAGCTGATGGCGGTAGACGTCCCGCGTCCTCAGGGGCCGCTTTTCCTGCTTGGTGATCCCTTCTTGAGGTGCAGCGGGGGTATAGGGTTTGGCGGTTTAGGGTATAGGGTTTAGGATTTAGGGCTTCAGGCGTTTAGGCTTTAGGGGTTTAGGGTTTGGGGGTCGGGCGGATGCGTGTGCCCTGCTTGAGAAGCTGGAGGGGTGAGACTTGTTCGAAGGCGGTACTACACTGTCTACGATCGCCAGCGCCTGCGCATAGGCTTCGCATTGGCACGCCAAAGCATCAATGAAAAGGCGACTGCAAAGGGATAATGCAGCACTGGTCGACTTCTGGAATACAGCCCCTCAGTCGATTTTCGCTCGCATCATGTGAACCAACCACTTGCCACTAAATCGCGCTTCAAGAACAGATGGGTGGGAGTCTGCAGGAATAAATGTCATGACTCTGGAGATGACCAACTCAGATTCGTCTCTACCCCATAGTGTTTTCTGCAAGGAACACATACACACACACAAACACATACTCACACAGCTACAACGAAGTACCTGGCCGTAGACACCATAGACACAAGCAATCTGTATAAGTCTGGAAGCTTTCTCTGACTTCACGCGCGACGCCATGGCTTCGTGCGGTGCCCAGGGCCAGTTCGGTCTGTGTTCTACGAATTTCTGGGATTGCCAGACTCTGCTCTGCTTGAGTACAGCTGAGCCCTTGAGATTGATTGATCTTACTTAATATCGGTCCTCGTCTTACTAGATGATGATGATGCCCTGCACCAGAAGCTCTTCACTGTTCCTGCGGAGCGACGCTTTCGACCGAGGAAAGGCAAGCTTACCTCGCCTCAGGAGCATGCGGTCAGATAGGAGGGCTCCCGAGACTTTATTGTTCAGGGCTTCCGGATCAGGTTCTTCTAGTTCGCCAACCTCGAAGGTTCTCTGGCGCGACCTTCGCAGGAAGCCTGGAGTCTCTAAACCTCCGAAAAATGCAGAGGACCGCTATCGATACATCCTTTGTACCGATGTTTGCAAAAAAAGCAGAGCCTATGTCCTTCCTCTGAGACCTCCAGGCTGCAGAAGTCGGAAGCTCACCCTGTCGGCTCCGTTGGAACTGTCGGGACAGGAGTTTGAATCACCTTTTCAGGCCAGCGGTTTCAAATTTTAGGCTTAAGGTGTTTCAACCCGAAGTAGAGGCAACAAACTTTCAAAGCCCTCATCAAGGCCCGAAGCTCGAACACTCCGACATGACAGACATAGGAACCTGCCAAGCTCAAACCTGAATGCTTCCAGAACCCAAAATCCCCAGCTGGCAAAGCACCAAACGCCCCTACACCTTTCAAGGACTCTTTTTGTCGTGCACAGGAGTCCCTCCAGCAGGTGTCCACGCATGTTCCGTCGACACGCTCCTTGGCCTGCTTTGGGTGGTTCGGATTGTAAGGATTTCGAGTTCAGGGCATAAGGCGAGGGGCCCTGGGTTTGGGAGAAGTTCGAAGGGCCTCGAACTCTGGTTTGTGAGCTTGTACCCGGCCCAGTGAACTTTCAAGCCGAAGGCACTCTCCATGTTTCTGGGTTGTAGCATCCAGGTGCAGCCCAAAGTATGCACAATCCTTAAAGGCTCTGTGCAGGAAGTAGCGGGCCGTGAAGCCCGCAAGGCGAGCGCTGATCCTGCCGAGTTTTACAGGTGGTGCTTTCCGAAATCTGCGGGTTGCATGAGGGTCGTTATGGAGGGATCCCAAAGTTGGGCCTGGGGTTTAAAGCTGTCCTTACTTCGTAAGCTGCTGAATCTCAGTCGTAGTGTCAGGCGCTGACGCTGGAAAGCTCAAGCCACTATCAAAAGCCCCTTATGTTTTAATAGTTTCGCCGCCAAGCTGCGAGTGTGGATCAAAAACTAACCCTCATCCCAATGCGTTGATACCCTAAGCCTAAACTCAATAGGCTGAGAGCCCTAGAACCGCGTGACAATGTGCCGAGCGTTTAGAGCATGCTTTGAGCTTTTCGATCGTGCCTGAACTCTTGAGCCCTTGACCTAACATTCTGAGCCTTGAGGTTCCCCCTCCCCAGACCCCAGCCCCATCCCTAGACGAGGCCGACAAGTCAAAATCGTAAACCTAAAAAAGCCACATGCCCCAAAGACTAAACCCTCCAGGGCCCAGAAACCGTACAAGAAAGCCCAAAGCAAGCCCCAGAAGAAGACCTCTAAACGAACTCTACAGACCCCCTAGCCCCTCACTAGGAAACCCTTGTCGTATCCCTCAGAGCTTAAACCCTAAACCCTAAATCCCTAAACCCTACGTAAACCCCTCAACCCCTAAACCCTAAACCCTTAACCCTAAAACCTAAACCCCTAGCCCAAACCCCTAAAACCCTAAACCCTAAACCCCTAAACCCTGAAGCCCTTCTTGTATCTCTTAGAGCCCCCCCTGGAAACCCTAAAGCCCGAGATTCTCGCGATGGCATCTCCCTGGACACGTCCAGCTTCAACGACCGAGGGCCCCAGTCGCGGCGACGCGTTCTTGAAAGGGCTCCTCTTTGCAGGGCTTCCTTTAAGGGATCCTTTTAAGGGCTCCTTTAACGGCTCCTTTAAGGGCTCCCTTTAAGGGCTCCTTGGTGTAAAGGGGCTTAGAGCCGTTTAGGGTTTGGGGTTTAGGGGGCTCCTGTGAGGGGTTTGGGGTTTGGGGTTTAGGGTTGGGGTGGATCCTTTGAGTTTAGGGGCTCTGTTAATTGTAGCAGATCCTAGAAGGGGGTCCTATAGGCTGCGTTGAGGGTCCCTATCCAGGATCCGATAGGGGTGGAGGGTTGTAGGTAAGATTCTGAGCGTTGCAGGGTTTCGGGTTCTACAGGAGGGAGGAGGGCTGTGGTTTAGCTTTTAGCGCTTTATCTCGAGCCAGACATGCTACAAGAAGGGTTCCGCTAAACGTAGTGCATCTTTGAGAATACCTCCAAGATCAAATGATTTCTCTATAGTTCTTGAGCAAGAGCCTGCAAGTGAGGGATCCATAGCAAGAATGGACCCACGTGGCTTAACACGCCTCCCCATCTGCGGTTTAATTGCAAACGCCGTGCCTCGTGCCAGGCATGTTAGCGGGGCGACCGGTGGATCGCAAATCAGCGGAGGCCGATGATGATGATGATGACGGTATTTATGATGATCATGATGACTTTCACGAAATTTCGTGTCGTGATGACGGCTGCGACTCAGATTGAACTCAAGCATTAGGATGCAGGTTTAATTATGCTCTTGATGATTTGAGCTTTCGACAATCGTGCTCCCGGTCGAGTGTTGAAAAGAATCTACTGTACGTAGTTGCTGATGCAGTAGTTCTATGGCCATTGCTTTTACTTTTCCTACAGCCCTACAAGGCTATTGCCATGGCCATTGCTGTTGCACCCCTCCACAAACTCTAGCCCTCCTAAAACAGTAAGCGTAACAATAATAATCATCACGAGCATCGTGCTATTACTATGCTCACTGGTATTCTAGTTTGCTTGGCCGTCGCGATTCCCTGACCGTCAGACCTCTTACCAAGGTTCAAAACCGTTAAAGCTCAAGTCCTAAACCCTAAGCCTTGGAATGTTGAAGCCGTTATACCTTGAGCCCTGAAGCCGGACTCCAAAGACCAGCCAGAACTGTAGCATATTACAAGGCTGCTTTATAAGATCGGCGGAAGAAACTACGAAAGCTTTCTGCCGAACCCGAAGGATCTTACAACGACTACCGTCAGAACCACAGGTGCCACACTCGGTAACCGAACCGAGGTTAGGTTGAGGGTCTGGCTTGTGGAGCATTGGGAGGGTGTGCGATGGGTCTTGCAAGGCTACCTCAGGGATCGCAAAGGAAAGCATGTCGCTGTATTCCAGGGAGGACTTGCACTGGTTGGGTATGCAGAGCACTTCAGGCAGGTTACTGTAACTCCTAAACCCGAAGCCCTAAACCCTAAACCCCAAGCACCATGGGACCGTCTACTCAACCGTAACCCCATCCCCATTGTTTCCGAGGGAACGACTCGAGCGTGATATCGAGCTGACCACGGGAAAGTGCCTTCCTCATTCCTGTGTCTTGGGTCTCGGCTCTTCGCGCAGGGTCTGGCTTCGGGATTCTCCGATTTTCAAGATTTGAGTTGCCTCGTCTCCCCAATTCTGATTTTCCGACATATGGGAGTTTCCGAAACTTAGGGGTTGGGATCCTTACAATAAGGATCCTACTATTTAGGGTACTAGATTAGGGTCCCCTATTTTCGGAAACTCCCATATCGCATCACTACACGGATCATGGCCAAGAAGATGCTTCTGCTGGGGTACTTCAGAGAACTCTCGAGGTTCTTTTGAGCTGTAGGCCTTTATGAGGGCGTCGTAGCGTTTCTTAGAGTTCTATAGGGGTTCATATGCATTGCATTACAGGCATTGAACAGTTTGCTTAGCAATAAGGGTCTTATGGGGTTTTGAACCTATGACGAGAATCCTACTTGCTAGGCCCCCCCGATCCTCTAAATAGGGTACTGCCTTCATAGGTTATAAACAAGCCTGAAACCTAAACCCCGAACCCTAAAGCCTTTCCAGTATCCCTTAGAGCTCCCCAGCCCTGAACCCTACACTACACCCCTTAACCCTGAACTCAAAACCCTAAACCCCAAAGCCCTAAGCCCTAAACCCTACTTGGAGGATCATGGGACTTAGTAAGTAAGGTTATAAGCTTCTTAATTGGGGTTATAAGTATAGTTACCTTGATTATTACCCTAGTTACTATTTCCCATGATCCTTTAAGTATTATTTTGGGGTTCCTAAACCCTAAACCCCTAAACCCCCAAACCCTAAAGCCCCAAGCCCTAAACCCTAAACCCTGAAGCCCCAAGCCCTAAACTCTACACCCCTTAACCCTAAGCCCTGACCCAGGCTCGAGCTCGAACAGCGAAGGCTCGCGAAGTTGGACAAGGCAGGTGCCCGATTCCATGGGGGTTTCTCTGGTAATACAGGGGCCTAAAGTAGGGTTCTTTTAAGCGTT